GGTTTATTTGCTCAAATGGTTGTTGTTGGTGTGTGTGTGTGTGTGTGCGGTTTTTGGTTGTTTCTCTGCATTTTGTGCGGTATTGTCTTGAATTACGTTTTGCTATTTTTTCCTCCCCCAGGCCCCAAGTCTCGGAATCAGCCAGCCAAACGTTGGCACACAAAATGTGCCATGCAATAGCATTTTTTTTTTGTTTCAGTTTGGTTTGTTACAGAAAACAAAAAAGTGTATCGCCCACAAAGATATGGACAATTGTTGTAGTACTCTCTGTTTATCACGGTACCTTTGCATCGTCGAACGTTCACAATGAATTGCAATAGACACATGTATTTACATATGTATGTAAGCACGGTACACATGTATGCTTATGTGTAGCCATGATTGAGTGCAGAACTCGTCAAATAAATTACAGAGTATAGAAAATCAAACAAGGCAAGATGCGGAATTGTTGCAGTTATGATATGTCCAATGTGTGTATGTTTTTTTTTTTTTTTTAATATGTACGTACGGACTACTTGTGTTTTATGACACGAATAAAAAACCAATCATTTAGGTTTGCCATGGCGAATGCTTGCATTGATTTTGTGTCACATTTCTGCTATTGATGGGATGGGGGTCAAGCGTAAAATGTGGGCCAAAAATATGACACTCAAATAGCTGTCATTGCAGCCGAAAGATGGCTTGCTTTGATGATGGGGCACTTTTTTCCAATTTCGACATGCATTATTTTTGTCACCTAAACACGTCGTTATTGTTAATCGAATGAATAAACTTCCTTTGTCTTTAGGATATTAAATGAAATTTATTTCCAGTTCATTGAAAAAACACTAACAAACTCAACTCGACGTGATAAATAAAACGAACCAATACGGTTGCCGTACAAAAATATCCAATTTCCCAAATATTCAGGATCCATATGTTTAAGACAACCCATCAAAACCACATCAAATCCACATCAAAATTTTAAAAACCAAAAAAAAAAAAAAAAAAAAAAAATACTCGAAATTTTTGTTATTGTTTGCTTAGTAAGAATAATAAACAAAAAGTTCTGTCAATTTAGAATTCGTCCATTTTTGAGTATCTGTACATTCAACGAATTGAGTCTAGAGGCTAGTATGTCAAATTTGGTGAAGATCGTTTCAGATATAGCTATAGCTCCCATATCCGATTCATTCGATTGTTATATTTGTTACCCACAGCCTTAATATGCACTCCGTAACAACGATATTCAGGGAAATATATCAAATAACGCTCAGAAATATCTTTGCCAAATTTTATCTAAATCGGTTCCGATTTGGATATAGCTCCCACATATATCTTTATACGATTTTAAATTAATTGTGCAAATGCTTCGGTATAATGAGTCTTTTGAACTTTAAATTATAATTATATTCATATCGTGTATGATTGAATTCTCCCATAAAAACTTTTAATTGTTATGCGGAGCTCTACTTAATTAGCAAAGTGGTGTAGGGTATCATAAAGTCGGCCCCACCCGACTTTAAGACTTTCTTTACTGGTTTCGATATCATAAATAGAAAATTGATTATGGTAGTAAAATTCTTGCAGCTCGGGAACAGACCTTATGTGTTGTCAATGTTCTTACGCAAAATTATTCTGAGGATGATTCGAAAATATTTCTACATTGCGTTCATTTATTATAAGCGTGTTTCTTATATGAAACAACTTTGCTGTAGAAAATATGCAAAATGGCATGGTGTTTTGAAAAAGGTTTCTTGTATCGGTTTTTTGTTTTCTTATATAGAATGTGCTCATATGCGTGGTCTACTGCATATCACAAGTTGAATGCAACCACTCACGGGCCGTACTGCAGAGGTTCAGCTAAAATACTACTCTTTGATTTCGCATACCTTTAACGAAGGCTCAAATTAATTATATTTACAATGGAACCGAAAGACAGGATAAAACTCGTTGGGGTCAGAAATATTACTTCAAATCTGAGTATGACTTTGACAAAAATAAATCTTTAAAAATGAATATTTGCCAACGAATTTCCAGTTTAATGACGAAGAGTTGCTTGAACGAGGAGTACCTGTATTTCGATGACGAACTGCGTTTCTACCACCAGCTGCTCGATGCGACTCCCTGTATTATTTTATAGTGCGTTGTGTTGCGTTGGGTGTACTTAATATGTATAATTTCCTGCATATTACCCCTACCTAATAGCTGATGTACACTTTAACGTTTTTCACCACAAATGCTGGTGAAAAGTGCCCGGTCGTAAGTGCCAAATTCCATCCCATTTAGACAAATATTAGACGTTTGGTGAACAATAAAAATTAAATCGGACGAAGTTATATATGGGAGCTATATCCAAATCTGAACCGATCTCGATAAAATTTGGTATACTTATTTTCAGACCTAATTTGGTTGTATGTGCAAAATTCCATAAAATTCGGGCTGATATTACACGTTTGGTGCACAATAAAAGGCAAATCGGACGAAGATATATATGGGAGCTATATCTAAATTTTGATCGATTATCTCCAATTTCAATAGGGTTCGTCCTTGGGCCAAACAAATGATATGTGCAAAATTTCATCTGGATAGGGCAATAAATGCGAACTGTACCTTGTTTACAAAAATACATGGACAGAAGGACGGACGGACATGCATAAATCGACTCAGAATGTGATTCTATGCAGATCTTCAAAAGGAACTATGGGTCTATCTCGTTTCCTTTTGCATGTTACAAACAAATGCACAAAGACATAATACCCTGACCACCTTGTGGTGTAGGGTATAAAAATTCAAAACTTTTAGATGCATGCAGGTTCTGGGACAAAGTTATATTTGAAATGTGTATGAAACACACATTTTGTAACCGTTCTTGGGTGACGCGTGCTAAGTGCCATGGTGCTGAGTCCTGTTGGAATGTTCAAAGTCTGTTGTCAAAAATGTTTGCGTGCACAAGGCTTTAGTACACCCTCTAGAATATTTTCGCTATAATATTCGGTATTTATTCCGATGCCACGGTCGATTAATACGAGCGGAGAGCGATCATCGGCTGTTATGGCGGCCCACACCATCACCGAAGTTACACATTTTCAGCTGACCTCTTTGGCAAGTAAACACGATCATTTTGTTTGTTTACAAACTGCTGGACAACTAATGTTTTCTCATCGGAGAAAACCAAATTCGGCAGTTGACGACTTTTGACCAAGCGAAGCAACTCTTTAGCTCTCTTGAGTCTATTTTCTTTCTGTTGTGTTGTAAGTTTTTGCACTTTTTTGATTTTTAATGGCTTTAAACCGAGCTCATTTTTCAATATTTGCCGAATGGAATATTGCGATATGCTCGGGTTTCGATTCAGTCGCTTCTTAACTTTTCGAACCATTTCTGCTGATGTTGCTGTTTTCTTCCGTCCACTTCCTTGACGTTGGGCTACGCTACCAGTATCATGGTAACAAGCGATGGCAAGAGATATAAAAGATTTATTCACATTTAAATGCTGGGTGTGCTCTAACGATAGCCAATCACACTATCACCCTTGAATTCCATCACGAGTATTTTTTTTCTAGAAAATTCTCACCAAAATTCTTTTGTACGCTCGTAAACAATATTATGAGCTGTCACTGGACAAATTTTAACAGCTGTCGGACGAGTGGCTTTTAGAAATGACAGCAGTCTGAATTGGGTCATTTTTTCATCTCACCCTGTACATGTTCGAATTGCATACTCTGCTTCATGGTCCACCTGTAAACACTCATAAAAGAGACTAGGTTTTTATATGAAATACATTCATATTAGAAAAACATGAATATAAGAAAAATATTGACAATTTTTAATGAGTTTCTTCTATGTGTGGTCTTGCACTACATAAAGATCTCAGAGAACTTTCCAAACTAATAGCCTTAGAAAGTGAAGTCTTCATGCAATATTGCTTTGTCTATGGCCAAGTCTATTGAAAGTCGTTCACGTTGTCTTATCCATAATACCAACTTCCCAACACTTTCTAGTTCATTAAAATCGATTGTATTTTTGTGTTATTAAAATAGCTACACGTTTTTTTTTTTTTTTTTTTTTTTGTCATATTCATACCTCGAGAAGAACATTCTTTACATTTTTTCTAAGGTTATCGCCAATTTTCAGCTAGTTCATAGTCCTAAAAATATTTTTCCTTTCTGTGTCTGTGCAAATCAACATTTGGTGTTAATCAATTAATGTCATCACATATTTCTTTCAATTGCTTGAAGGTGATTCTTTTTTCATTGAAAAATGTTTACACAAACGGAATCGTGTTTGCTCCTAAAACGATGCACAGTGTAGTGTATAAATTCCACCTTTTCTAAAAGCCACATTTATTGGAAAGACAAACCTATGTACCCACAAAAGTACTTAAAAATCTTAAAACGACAACAAATTATACAAAAATTTATGTGGTTAAGGCACTAGCACCAAATCAAATTATAGCAAAAAAAAAAATAAAAAAAACTCTGATGCTATTACAGGTAGATGCATCAACGCTTGAAAACAAATTTTTTTAATTTTTTGTAAAAAATAAGTGGTTTTTTATGTGTTATCTTACACGATGCCAATTGGAGGTTGCTATGATATTAATATTTCAGCAGATTTTAAATATTTCAATAATCTTTCATTCAACATTTTCCATTCCAATATTGGTTTGACAGCTAATTGTCTCAGCAGCTGTGTCGATGAGATTACATTCTACCATGTATACAAGGTAGTAGGGTAGGTTGATCAAATACTTCAAAATTACTAATAACAAATACAACAAGTTGTTTTTTTATTTTACTTTTCTACCGATTTTAATTTAAGGTTAAAAAATCAAAGCCTATTGCGATAGCGCCTGACTATTGCTAAGACCCATGGTAGAAATACCAGGTAACAACATAGGCGAAAATTACAACAAAGCAAATGTTGTCGGAACTTGATATGTCGAAATTGTAAGCAAGGCGAATTTACTTGACATATAAAATTTGAGGCAAATTGTTTTGCACCAATCAGAACGAAGCATGGTAGAAATACCAGGTAGCAACATAGGCGAAAATTACAACAAAGCAACTTTTTTTGGAAACTTGATATGTCAAAGTTGTAGTCAGGGCGAATTGATTTGAAGTACAAAATTTGGGGCAAATTATTTTTCCAATCAAAATATTGAATTAAAAATTTTCAAAATTGTGTTTTTTTCTATTACAAAAGCAAATATTCAAAACTTCCAACATCGATTGAAAGTAATGCTGAAGCCGCTGCATCTTGGTTTGATTATAGCACGTTCAATACAACATTTTTGAAAATCACATAGACTGGAAATGGAGTGATTGTAGTCTCCAGCGCCAACGAAGGACATTTGCGATAATAGATGTCCAATCGTTGTTATCTCTTCATCATCCTTACACAGCATGCAGTCTTGGTAACGTTGGCAACGTTGATTTCATATTCAACAGCGATAATGTTCTTTAAAGGAAATATCCGGAAAATTATTTTTGATGCTTTAAAATTAGGTTTTGTGGTGGTTCTGGGGTGTACCCCTTTTTCTTTTGCTACATCGTCAGCTTTCTCGCTGTAGTGACATGCTACCTAAAAGGTACTTTAGGGTATATTTACTCCTCAGGCTTACTTAAGATTTGGATCAAAGATTGCAGAAGATACAGGGGGGCTGAGTCTACTGTGAGTCCAGGCATATTATTTGCTCAGCTATGAAATGTATAGCAGACAGGAAGTCTTTTAAGCATAGATAACTTTAATACATTCGAACAATTTGAAATAAAAAAATTATCTCAACATTTAATCACACCCCAAAAATTGCCAATATTTTGTTCCCCAAACCAATCCAATATGCTTTGGAATCATTCACCTTTCACTGTTGAAGCCCTATAGTGTATAACATAGTTGAAAATCCGTACAAATAAGATGATGAAATTCCATGTATCGGTTTATTTCCTAAATGAAATTGATTCCCTGTTTCACTTATTTCAAATATCCACGAATTTTAGATCTCCATATTACCTATGCCTACCATATGTTGAATATACACTTTTTCCCTCATACTCTATAAAAACGTAAAATCTCGATTTTCTATCAATAGCATTGTTAAAGTTTGAAATCATGCAACAATTTTCTTATGTGTAAATGAAGGCGAATTCAAATTACAACAATTTTTTGACATATCAAATTGATACCAGCTGGCCTGAAAGGGTTACCTTGTAATTCTACCATGGAACGAAGCATTGAATAATTTTGTTGTGTTTTTATTTATATTTAAAAAATTTATATTTTGCAAGGAAGTTTTGTGAAAAGCAAACAAAAAGTCGAAGACTCGAAATAAGACAAGAAACCATGAAACAACCACCAAAATGAGGATAATTTACAAAGGCTGCTGCTCCAAACAATGAATTTTGCCGTGGATTTCTAAAAATGTAGATTCAACACATAAAATCCTCAAATTTTAAAGAAAATTACCGGCTCTTAAATCGTGGATATTTGAAGAACATTCCGGGTCTCAGACGTGGCTATATCTCGAAAGCATATTTGCGGATCTCAAATAGTGGATTTGTTGATTTATTTCAGACCTAAACATTATTATTTTTGAAATGAGACCAATTGCTTATCTTGAAGTCCTAAAGGATAAAAGTCCAAGTTTTAAGAAAAAAAGTTCAGTCGGAGCTTCGACAGAAATATATCCTCAGAATTTGACCACTTATTTATCTTTACTTTATTTCAAGGGCGTATCATAAAGGTTAAATAATTTCAACTTTTCACTAAATCTAGTATTAATACTTTGAAGAGAACTGGGAATAATATCACATTTTATGAGAATAGTGATTATTAAATATTTTGTAGGATAGGTATCAGATCTATTGTTCAAATATGACCTGATGAAGATATTATGAAAGGACATAGACTTTTGTCTGGGTGATTCATTTTTGTTCTTTAACTTTTTCCAACATTTTCAATTTTAATAATTGTTCAGGTTACTCTCTCATTTTATGTATCTGTAGGGCGAATTCATATTACAACAATTTGTTTGACATATCAAGTTGCCTACATCTGGCCTGATAGGGCTACCTTTTAATTCTACCATGCTAAGACCTGAGAGCGCTGTGTGGAAATGGATAATTCAATTTCCCGGTCAACAGAGAACAAGTCCAATTTGATAATTTTCTTAAATAACTTCTAGCGTTAACCAAAAAAATGGCAAAACATTATAAAAAATATAATTTCAAATTGGTCTATAGCTGCAGATGAGCTCCGGGTGTGAAAAGCCATATGGGAGCTAACATATCATATTACTAAAAAAATTGGGAAATTAGCTCAGATTAAGGCAATGCTTAAATAAATGACAGAAATGTTAATTCAGTCTCTCCTCGATTTCCAAGGGGACATCGGATGTTATGTCCGTACCACAGGGAGAGGGATTATCAATAATTGCCTCATAAAAAGAAAGCTATCACGACCGACCGATCTTTAATTCCCTCAGCATTCGCTGAATCCAATTCACAAATGCGAAGACTCAATTGTAATCCAGTTGGCTGATCCAAAGGAATGCTAAGAATAAATCAGCTTCACAAAACAGGCATGACGGAGCGAAAGTTTCGCATCTTCCCACCTCTGGTGATATCAGCTACAGTTTATAAAGATTGATGTTGCATATGTTATCCGCAGATCTAAATCATCCAAGCTATTCTATAATCCTCTTTCTTTTCTACGCAAAGCTTTGAGACTGTCCAGCCGTAGTCACTTAAGTCTGTCTTAAATTGGTCAGCATTCAACATTAAGATGTAATTCTCTAACAACCGATGAATCTCTTCTCCTCTGAACGTACGAATTCACTGTAGTTAGCTTAATCTGAAACTTTTTGTCCTAAAAGAGAAAGAGAAGAAAACAAATCAAAGAAAAAGAACCAATACAGAACACTTGGATACAAATCATTAATCAAGATTTCGGCATTGGCATCACTCCCTTATTTGGAAACAAAAGTACTAACTTTGCTCAGCGCCAAACAATAAACAAGGTTTGAACATTATTTCGTGTTTTGCGGAAAGGTGGCTGGCTGGTAGATGGATGGTGGTGGTGTTGTTGTTGAACTGGTTCGAGTGGTTGACGTTGTTGGTCGTTCACTTGTTTTATTCCACCTTTGTGTGGTTGTGTGCGAACGCTTAAATTTTTTTTTTTAATTTAATTTCATGTTTCTCGATATTTTGCTGGACTATCTGCTACAGCAGCCGGTCATTGGGCTAATGCAAATTCAACATTATGTTTAAATCGCTGATACAATATGAAGCATGACTCACAGAGGCATGTCACCGAACTTGTTACCCATAGTATATATGTTATACATAAATGTAACTACCTATATATAAAAATCAAAACTAGGCAAAGTAATTTGACAGAAAATATAAAAATTATGTCTAATTTTGATACCTTGCCTTGATGTAGCCTTATGAAATATTTTGTCTCAAGTGGACTTGGCATCGACATCCACACATCTGTTCGGATTTTGTAAAAGGTGCTGTGTATTCTTATTGTCTGTCAGTGTGGTGGTATTACATAAATTTTATTTTCATATTGCAGAACTTTTTCATTTCGAAATTTGTTTATCAGCTGTTCTTCGCATTCCGAGAAGGAAGAAAAATAAGTAACAGACAACAAAGTAGAAAGTAAACAAAGAAAAGTGGTGGTTAAATTTGTTTGCTAACCTCATCTCACTTCGTTCAAAATAAAGAATAAATAAAAATCGATTGGAATCTCCGTGGAAAGGGCAAGCGAAGAAAAAAAAACGAATTACCATAATAGAGTGAGTGCAATGACGAATTAACGAATAATGTGATAAAATCCAAGGAAAAGAAAGAAAAGAAAATTAAATAACAACCAAGCAAAAAAAAAAAGAAAAAAACAAAACAAAATTAAAATCTGGCATCAAGCTTAACATTTGACATTTTGCAGAGAAAAAAGAAAACCAGAAAAAAACTAAACAGAAGAGGCGAATACCAAAACGCCAACAGCTGCAGCATATTCATATCGACGGCCAGCTACGCTCATTGCCAATCTCTCTATTGGCTGGCAACTAAGAACAAAGGTAAGTCAACATCATGATTGTTTTTGTCTTGCCTTTTTACTCTGCGCTGCACATTGTTGCCAGATCTATCGACAGCAGTATTTGCGGACAAAGTGAGTAAAATGATAATATTCTGGAATCGCAATTAAGGGGATTAAATCCCAAAGGGGTGTTTAAGAAAATGTGATTTCAACGAGTTCAATTCAATCTTTTCTACAAAAGTCATCTTTTAGTTTCTTACAAGGCATATAAGTTAAATGAGCACATTTTTATGTACGGAAATAGGAACGAACATTGCACATCTGACGACGCCGTCACAATCGTAGTGTGGCGGACACAAGACTTTTAAATCGGATATCACCAGCTCCGTCACAGGTCAACTTTTTTGTTATTGAGGAGCTGCTACAGCTTTAACGCATTTTTCTGCGCCGTAACTTTTATGGGAAGCATTCATTGCCAAGTACTATATTGGATATTTTTCTAAGTTGGCAAACATTGTTTGTTTCTCTCTATTGAATGTTTGTTTGGAATCCCTTCTACTTCTTTGCCTATTCGTTTAATACACCTTTTCTACTTAAAGGACTTGATTTGATGTAGTCTACTCTGGTGCTATTGTCAGGACCAACATTTTGTACCCTTTACCATGCAAAAGACTCTACTTCTAGTGAACCTATGTTTAATATTTGTTTGCTATTTACCAGTTGAAAACTTGGTTGGAAGATATGGTAAAAAATAAAAAGGTGCCATTATATAGGAGCTACATAAACATATTCGTATATTGACATATATTTTGAGCTGGTTTTGCAAAAAAGTTTATTGCCCATTAAGAATTAAACAAATTGATAGGGTATGTTCTATCAGCGCAAAACGTTGAGCGTGTCCATTTGCTGAAATTTGTTGTCAGAAGAGTGACCGGTAGGAACTTAGAACTTTATTCAAGTTCAGACAAATACCAATTGCCGAAATTCTATCTCTCAATAAAGTACTTGGACATAATTTTGTAAAAGAATTTGTCGTGGTATATTCATATGGATGATTTGGATATGAAAGTTGCGCCCGCAGTTGTAGCATAATATAAGTTCAGATACAAGTTTAAAATTCAAACTAAACTATTTCTATATAACGTCCCCATAGCAAGTCATTTAAACTACACGACTAAATACAAAATGTTTTGTGCTTCCGTATTATCCAAATACGCGAGCTCCACATCCACACAAGAGATTCTTCCAAATGTAGCTTTGTTTAATTGCATACATTATTATCAGCATTGGGTAAGTGCACCTAAGTTCGACTCGTCGCAGTAGCAGGCATTTTTATTTATATTTAAACTCAAATAAATAAGAAATGTTATAATTAAGTGTAAAAAGAAATTTATATTAGCTTCGAATATAATGCCAGCCATCGGTGGAATAGGACCCTTCATCACGAGCGTGACAATGGATATTCTTAAGAAAACTTTCGTGAGTACGTCAAATTTAAATGATTCGTAACAGTGCAACAAGTCTTCTAAAAATATTCAGGAACTTACAAATGAACTGTATGGAAAAAACTATTATTGGAAACTGTTTAAAATAATGCCATTTTTCCGATGTCGTCTTCTGGAATAAAAACAAATTAGGGATTTTCCCAAAGTAGCCATGCATTTTGGACATTAAAAATAACCAATGATTGAACATTTTTGAAATAATATCAACAAATTAAATTATGTTGGTGGGTTTATTCACTATTAACCACATTTAAAGGGAGTATGGCGGATCTACCGATGTTGTATTTGTTTATCTGCTTTGTATTTATTTATTTAATGTGTCTACGTCATATGGATTAAAAAGTACAATAGCGACGTCAAATCTGTTCTTTTTTTTAATAAAAATAAAATAATACATTAAATGTACAGGAACAGGAACTACTGGCACAAAAAAACACTGATTAGAAGATAGCAAATTTTATAAATTAGATAACAAATGATTGGAACTTTGTTTTAAATTTCGAAATCTAAACAACATTTCTAACCTAAACCATTTAACTTCGTTGTAATCATGACCAAATTATGAGGCAAGACGAGTAAGACCAGCAGCAAAAATAAAAATATCGTCCCTCCTTCCCCAATATTGTCCATTTTTTTACAGTCACCAATGGATGAAGATTTTGTACAACTGTGTCACACAAGGAAAGACTGTCCGTACACTCCGTTGATATCTCTCCTAAATATTTATACCCCCAGACTTATGATTATACTACGAATACCATACAAAATAAAATGTATGTATCAGACAAAATACTTTTCATATTTCTTTCTCGTAAAGTAAGCATCGTTGTCATCGGCTATCAAATCAATGAAATGAAAGCTATGGTACTTATGAAACTTGAAGGGTCCATATCTTACGATGTATTAAATTTTTCCAAAAAAAAAAAAATAATTGGTGAAGTTGTATTCAGATCCTCTAAGTCCAACTGTGATATGGTGAACTAGTTTTTACGTTGTGTACAACTTATATTTCAAATATTTATGTCAAGGCGAAATACTTGAATTCGCTTCAGTTTTGGCAATATATGTAGTTGGAGAGTTGTATTTTTGGGAATTCGACCTTATAATTGTGCCATGGTTGTAAATGAAAAAATGTTGCTCAAAATGACGAAAGATTAAAGAAGTGAAAGTCCTAAAAGTGCCGACGACTGGTATACATTACCTACAAAAAAAAGTTCTGTTTAGTCATGGTACAATAAAAAAGTATTGTAGAGGTTCCAGCTGACTACATTTTTAATTAGGCATTTATTTTTAATTTTTTATAGGCATTTATTGTTTCTCAAAAACTTAATATTTTTAGAATCAATAATTAAAAAAATTACATTTCTGGATTTGCATTAAAGATATTAACCAGTTTTGCCACGAAAGTGAACTATTTTGAATTAGTTTGGATCCAGTCTTTAAAGAAAATGTAGACAATACATTAATCTTTCGCAATTTTTACTAATTCTAAAAACCGGTAAAGAAAGTCTTAAAGTCGGGCGGGGCAGACTTTATGATACCCTACAAATCTTTGCAGATTTAGTAGAGCTTCATATAACAATATATGGGGAATTTGTGAGAATTAAATCGTACCAACTGTGATTATAGTTATAATTTAAAGTCCAAAAGAACTAGTACTATTTGATATATTTCCTCGAATATCGTTGTTATTGAGAGCATACTACGGCTGTGTAGGACGGGTGAACAAATCGGGTGAACTGTATATATGGGAGCTACAACTATATCTGAACCGATTTCGATAAAATTTGACATAATTATTTCCAGGCTTAATTTGGTTACACATGCGAAATTCCAATATAAAGGCACAAAACAAGGCAAGTCGGACGAAGATATGTATGGGAACTATATATAAATTCTGATCGATTGTTTTCAATTTCAGTAGGGTTCGTCCTGGTGTCAAACAAATTGCTTGTGCCAAATTTCACTGGATGGGGAAATAAATGCGACCCATACTTTGTTTACAAAAATACTTGGACAGACGGACGGGAATTTATAAATCGACTCAGAATGTGATTCAATGCAGATCGTCAAAATGAACTATAAGAATATCTCGTTTCCTTTTGCCTGTTACAAACAAATGCCCAAAGACATAATACCCTGACCACCTTGTGGTGTAGGATATAATAAATGAGTTGTATCTATTTTTGAATAATTCTGGCAAAAAGTGGGCATAACCTCAGGGCTGTATTTCAGTAGTTTTACGAAACCTCTCAGGAACAGGTATTATGGTCTTATTTAGGGACTACTCCCCACTGTTTATGGTCGTTTAGATTCAAACATGGTAGAAGAATTTAAGTAGATGCATCAACGCTTGGGGACATTGATATGTCAAAATTGTTAAAATGGTTTGGCAAAAATAAGTAGATTTTTACATGTTTTCTTATAAGAAGCAAATTGGAGGTTGTTATTATATGCATTTTTCAACAATTTTTACAAATATCAACAATTTTTCATTCAATATTTTTAATTTCAAAGTCGGTTTGACAGTTCATTGTCCCAGCAGTTACGTCGATGCGTCTACCTGTATTTTTCTACCATGGATTCAACCGCAATTACCTTTACCCAGATATGGTAACACTTCAACATTTCCATTCTATTTCCTGTTCTCTTTGTTTCTTCTTTTAACGGTAAACAAAACAAGTTAATGTGCCCCCTGCGCAGGGAGACTTGCTTACTCTTTGCTCTCACTCTCTTCGACGGCGATTTCTCTTTGTTACTCTTGAGCTCTCAGCGTGCTCTTGGCTTTCGGCTGATGCAATGTAATTTGTTTTTGTCGATGTTTGCTTGTGTCTCACATTTCGTAAATATTTTTGTGACAGTTTTGTTTTCGTTTGGAATTCCAACCAGCCAATCTCGTTCTACTTTGGGGTGATTTGCTGGCAGTTGTCAACAGCACCGATTTTCTTCCTCATAACGACGATTAACGGCGACGCATTCAAAAGCCAAACATAAAAATAAAATCTGAATAAATTTTAAGATTTTAATGAGCCCGA